CAAACTAGGTGATACAAACTGTTAAGGAGGTTTAAAAACTTGAATATTTTCAAAAGCTTTAGGTACATGCAGAGCATTTCACATCTTTTTTCCAGTTAGTGTTTAAAGTTGAGATCTCAGTACGGAAAAACAACCGCCTTAAGAATTAACATCTACAAATAGTACCTCTAGATCTTGGGTTTGGTTTTACCTTTTTAATGTCACTTGCATCTCATTCAGTACCAGAAGGCTAAAACAGGCAGTAATCATACATCTCCCTTTGTGTAAACTCGTACACGGCTTGGATTATTAGCACACTTCAAAGGTAAAATGAGTCTGCAAGGTACACTCAGTGCATACGCAATTCAGAACTTTCCAACTGTACTTGTAAGAGAAGACGAGTAGAAGTGGAGTAGGTTGAGCAAGAGAGTGCAGAGATAGGAAGGGGCAGGGAGTCCTCTCCAGATTGACTTCATGTGGATTTTGAGAAGTTGCAGTTCATCACTGTCATGGTAAAGCTGCTAGTGGGTTTGTGTTTTGTTTTCAGTTAAGTTATTGGCAAAAGTTAGCTTTTATGATGTGAGGAGAAAAAAGCAGGAAGTGTCAGTGACTGAGCTCAGGCTGTTTGTAAGTGTGTGGTTTATTTAGGGGCTATGGTATATAATGTAGGAGTCTGAAAAGCTGTGTGCAGACTGTGACGCCTGCACAGCGTTCCGATCTCGGGCTGTGGCCACCCCGCTTTCTGCACCATGATGTTTGTTCACAGAGTTCATGGGGTAAGATGTATTTTTGGTTTGGTTTTTGTTTGTTTGGGGATTTGTGTTTGGTTAACTATCCAGGAAGAATCTTTAAGCTACAGTCCTTTGTTTATTCATTTTCATGTATGTGTAATGCAGACTAACAATTGGTAAATAAAATAATATTTAATGCAAATATATATTTTTCCAAATATGTTGAGTCCTTTCAGACGAGTTCATCACGTGAAAGCAACTAAATAAAGCAATGGTTTCTGTTAAGAAAGGCTTTCTGGAGCTAATACACCACAGGAGTCTTTATACATTATGTGGGATATCTTACCTGCTAGAGCTTAGACAGTTCACTGAGTAAAGTGAATAGGTGAGCACCATTCTAGCCTTACTTGAGTATGACCTACAATTTCTAGTAGCCTTCCTGAGCTCTTTTCAGCAGGCCTTACTAGTGGGAGTCTCAGGGGGCTGTAATCATTCCTTCCTGTGTGTCAGTGTCACTGAATATCCAGGAGGAAGTGCTCAGGGCAGTACTCCTTTGGTGGTAAAAGGGTGCTTGCAAGTTCATATGGTTTTGCTTTCCATAAATGTCATGGTACCTTGTGCTGTTTCAAAAAGTTAGTCTCCATGAACCCAAGAACGGGCAGGAAAGTCATGCTGCTGCTTTAGAGCGGACGATAAAAATGCCTGTGGCAATCCAGTTGTGTGCAGTCCTGAGAAAGCTTTGTGAAGAACTGACTCATGTCTGTTGTTTCGCTCACTGGGCTGTTTCTGAAGGCTTATAATTTTGGTTTGCAGTAATCACACAGGATTTCAATACGTAGAACTGAACCACAGTGTTTACACATCCAAACACAGAACCACCCTCTGGAGCGGGTGCACCTGGCACTCCTCCATTACAAATGTCTCCATTCAGTTCTTTAAAAGATGCATGAAAAAGCGGTCATCTTGTTTTAGCAAACATGCAGACAAATGATGAAAATAAAAATCACAGAGTGGTTTGGGTTGGAAAGGACCCCAAAGCCCACCCAGTCCCAACCCCTGCCATGGCAGGGCCCCGTGCCCCCAGCCCCATCCAGCCTGGCCTTGGGCACTGCCAGGGATGGGGCAGCCACAGCTCCTCTGGGCAGCCCAGGCCTGGGCCTCACCGCCCTCTGGGGAAAGAATTTCTTCCTTATATCTCATCTAAATCTACCCTCTTTTAATTTAAAGCCATTACCCCATGCCCTATCATTATACCACCTGACAGGGTCCCTCCCCAGATGTCCTGTAGCCCCCTTTAGGCGCCGGCAGGCCGCTGTGAGATCTCCCCAGGGCCTTCTCTCCTCCAGACAGATCAACCCCAGCTCCCTCATGCCTGTCACCTACAGCCTCTGAGCATCTTTGTGGCTTCCTCAAGACTCGCACTAATAGTTTCATGTCCTTCTTGTGCAGGGGGCCCCAAGCTGAAGGCAGGCTCCAGGTGGGGTCTCACAAGTTCCCCTCCTTCACCCTGCTGCCCGCGGTGCACCCCAGGGTGCCGCAGGCTTTCTGTGCTGCAAGCACACATCACTGGCTCATACGCAGGGTGTTTCTAAGAACTTGGTGATATGGATATGGTGGTTTGTGTTGTTTGTTTGTTTGTTTTTTACCCTAAGCTTTGTTATCATCACATTCCTTACTGGAGATAGTAAACAGGCAACGAGAATTTCTTCTGTGAGAAGAAAAGTTTATGACAGTTAAGCAAAAGGAGCTTGTGCTTCAGACTGACCAGTGTTTATCTGTCGGTGGCCAGCTGGGCTGCAGACAGGCTGGTACTGTCCTCTTTTTGTTATAACAGAACTGACTTTGGTCCTGAAAGGTGAGGGCTCTGCCAGTTTCCTGCTGTGCTTTTTTTATTTGTGATGAGCAGACACATCTCCCCTCTGTTCTCTCAATTTCTTAGGTTTGTTTGAATTTTGCCCAGGCTTTGGTAAAGTCCAGCAAGGTTCATTGGCTGCAGAAGTGAAGAATTTTGTTATTCTTTGTCAGGCCTCCTAATCTCTTTCCTTGACACAGGAAGAACCTGTAAGACTTTTTTGTCTGTACTAATGTTGCTCAGTAGTAACTACCTGAGTATAATGGAAGTGTTAACTTCCCTGCTAAGAAAGCTTTCTCAGGGTTGAAATGGAAAACACCGTTGGCACTCCCTAGCTAGCCGTAATCATAGTTAATTCTTGTTGCTGCCCAGGTTCTGCAGCTGCCTGTAGCTTGTTGCAGGCAGTCGTGTGTGTTGTGAACAGTGCAATCATGATGGTTAAGTCTGATGTGTAAATACATTCTGCACACTTCTGTTTCTTCTTCAGTATACATTTGAATTTATATGATGAGTTATATAAACATTCTATAGATAAATATATATTCCACGTATAATCTGGTAAGGAACCTGTATAATAATCTTAGGTCCATCAGTTTTGCAAAGGTGCAAATAAAAGTGACACAGCCTGTGTGCACCCCCATGGCTGTGCAGCTGTGTTGCAGTTATCTGTTTGTTCTCTTGGCAGCATTTCTGACGTGGTTTCTGTGTCTTCAGGAGGCTGCAACAGTTCCTGCTTCCTGTTCTGCGTGTAAATGCTGAGCTGCAGTACCAGGAGGCAAACCACTGTGCCAGACTTACTGCTTCACTAATAATTCCGTAGTGCTGTACTTAGTACTTCACAAAGTCAGCGCACAAATAACAACTCCAGTTAATACACATTCAACCACAGATAAGTGTTGCTCAGGTTCTTGAAAGATATTTGACCCAATTTCATTGTCCAGGCTGTTGCAGAAGAAAAATAAAATTGATGGGACCTCTGCTAGGGGAAAAAACTGCATTTTAGATTAAACCTGTTTTATTTGTCAACACTTCTGTTCAGTGTCCAGCTTATTGAGCGTTAAGTTGCTCTAGAAGACTGAGTTGAGGTCCTGTGAATTTGGGCTAGGGACAGAACACTTTATTTTTTATTTATTTTTTTGTTATGCCAGTGATTTAACCTTTTGGTGTAATTGATAATCCAAAATAATTTTTACATTGGATGACTGGTTGATAGCTGAGTGAAAAATGCTGGAGGTTCTAGAGAGATGTCATTTAGTTTAAAGATGTTAACAGGAAACTGGACAGGAAGCTAGAAAGTTCTGTAGCCAAAATCTCTGGAGAAGACAAAAACAGGATGGATATTAAATCAGCTGTCTACTCATTATTTTAGAGCTTGTTCTTCATTAAGAACTGACTTCCTGCAATTGTTTCCAAAACTGATGCATGATGCATTTCGTAAGAAATCCAAGTGCAGGAGACTGGCTTCCCTGAAAGAAGGGATTTAATGATTGCAGACCTATAGCAAACAAATCATGTAAATTATTACTTAAAAGGTCTCAGATTCCAGTACTTTGCTTTTTCATTCCGGTATTCCTAAAAAGCCATCAAATTTTCTGGATTTTAGGCTTCTAAAAAGGGACGTTTCAGAAAACTACACAACCTCTCCCGTGACAGACAAATGTAGGCTCGTCACTGAGCATTTAAGCATTGAGCGGTTACTTTCTTCTGTTCTGTGTGATTAGCAGCTCTTAGTCAGCTCCGAAAGCTTTACGTGTGCCTCCATCAGCTGGTAGTCCTTACAGAGGTTAGAGGTGGTATGATTTTTGGCCTCTCCACGCTAGATTTTGGTGTTTTAGTGTTTCTGTTTCCTGTAGTTAGTATAACGTGCTCATTATTGCAGAAGTGCTCATCTTTGAAACCATCTGAAACATGGTTTCTGACACAGCTGTTTCCAAATGCCAAGGAACCTGGCAGGAATCTGCAGCATGGAGAGGTCAGCTCAGTACTGTGACTGTCCCTGGAAGCCTTCCTTGTGCATCAGGGACTTGCTGTCACTCGTAAGACAAAGGCATTTCATTTCAGCTATGCCTACCTGTATGTCCAAGTCATACTTGGAAAATTAACCAGTGGAATGAATGAATGTGAAACCTTATCTCTGTAATCTTTTGGAATACAAGGGGACATGCAGCCACACCAAAAGAAGCAGGATCAAGTGCTCCCATTCTGTCCTGTTCATGGGCGGTGGAGAGGACTGCTTGCCAGGGGCTGGCCAGCTTCCACTGATTTAGCAGACCTGACCTTGTGTGGCACTGGATTGGACTGAATTTTATTTCTTATTCAAATGCATGAAATAGTACCACTATCGGATTGAAGGAAGAGTGCTGTGTTAGCTACAGAAGGCTAGATTAAAGGGTAAGAAAGTTGTGTGAGGCTTACTTCTGCTGGTGTCTTTCCTGCAGTTTTGGAACCCTTGTTGCGATTGGAATCACCGTTTTTGCAGTGATTGTAATTACTATCATTCTGTGCCTCACCTGTTCGTGTTGCTGTTTGTATAAAGCATGTCGAAAACCACGGCGTAAGTACCTGTACATTTACTTTCTTTTTCTTGTAATGAAAAGACTATTTTTTTCCCCCGAAAGATTGTATTTTTGTAAGAGGTAAAAGTAACGTTTCCTTACTTATCTGCTACAAAAGCTGCAATAGCTAACCATTGAAAATAAGCATTTAAGCTGCTTTAAAACGTGATATAGCAGAGACATTTTTGAATGTCTTCTAAGCATTTAAGAAATTCCTTTATTCTCCCCCGGAATGTGTGGATTTTGTTTTGTTTTTTTTTTTTTTGGTTGATTGGTTTAGGTAAATGTGGAATAGAATGAAAAATTAATTTAAAATTTTCCCTAGTCTCTTAAAAATGTACTTGAAAAACACACCTCAGGCCCAGCACTGTAACATTAGTTGTTCAGGAATTAAGTAAAATGTCTTTACTGCCAAAAGATAAATCTTGCATTTGAAGAATGAGAAGTCTCCCTCACCACTATGACAGACTGAAAAGAAGTGAATTTGCATGTTCATGGTGATCACTGGGAAAGTGGTTATTCAAACTGTACCACAAGATACGTTCTTTTTTCTATCACTGCTAAGGAAAATCACATATTTCAAAAACAATGTTATGGTAGCGCAAATCCTGCAACTGTAATGTTGCAAATTCTCAGAATTTACAGAAAGCTTTTGTACTTCTAGGCTTGATGTTAGCTTAGAAGTGAGTCATTATACCATGGGAATTTTTGAAGTCAAAGCTGTGTTTTATTGATCATATCAATATGTAAACTTTAGAGCGACCGTTTATTGGTCTTCTTTTCTTTATGTTGTATTTGAGTAATTTTGGAATACATGTTTAATGTTCTCTTTATTCTAAATATTTGACAAATAGAATGATACTAAGCCAAAAAAAAACTTTGAAATGCTGATTAATGTGGACAAACAATATGCTGTTTAAAGTAGCATAATCCTCTGAGAACAGATTACAAAACGAGTATTTTAAAAGGAAGTACTAATGAAAAGTTGTCTTGATTAAAATATAAATAAGAGCATTTCAAATGTAAGCTGAGATTAGTCTGCATACAGTCACTGAAACAGTGGACGCGTCTTTATGACAGGATTTAAGTAGAATAAAAGCTTTCTTTTGTTGTTCCCTATGCGTCAAGTGGAATCTTGAGCAATGTTTATAATTGCAGCCTGAAGAAGAAGGAGATCTTGAAACCTAATTATTGCAGTTTATTAGAAATTGTTAATCTTCCCTTACTGCAATAAGGGAGATGAACCAATAACCCAGTGTTAGCTCCTACAAAAAATATGTGTATTTGCCTTTCTGTTATAATGTACAAAGATGTACTAACACATACATGTGTTAGTACACAGACTACGTTAAAAGGAAACTCATTTGGTCAAACGTGGTAGGAAGCTGCTTGCCTAATAAAGGAGATATTTATTACCTTTATCCTTTAAAACAGCCAATAACTTCAAAAAATAAGCAGGTTATTCCAGTCTCATAGTGAATGATACATCACTTGGCCACAGACTGTTTTTGAACAGTCCAGGAAAAAATGTCTTTGCTCTTTGTGGTTGAGAAATAAGGAAATGGGCTGGGAGAGCAGCCAGTTTGTGAAGGTTTTTAGGACCACTTTGATCAATGGAAGAGTATTTTGAGACACACATCTCTAAATCGTTTTGTGGAACTTCAGAAATTATTTTGAGCAGATTTTGGAGTGAGAAAGTGATCTCAAGAGAAAACATTTTTTATATTACTGTTGTTGGCTGTCCCAGGTGGTCTCCTAGAACCACCAGGACTAACCATATTCCTTTCGGTTGTTTGTAGCTGTGGTGACCACCACTACTGCCACCACAGTGGTTCACGCTGCCTACCCCCAGCCAGGAGTGCCACCCAGCTACCCGGTAGCTCCGTATCAAGGATATCAGCCGATGCCTATCCAGCCACAGCCGGGAATGCCAGCAGCACCGTACCCCACACAGTATCCTCCCCCTTATCCCATGCAGCCATCAGGACCTCCAGCTTACCATGAAACAGTGGCAGGTAAGGCAAGAATGGTCTAAATGTTTCTTTCTCTTGAATAGCAAAAAAGATGGTGACATTGGAGCCAATCCTCTATTATTACATTTATTATGTTTTACGTTAATGCTAATGTAAGCAAATTATTTAAAACTGGAGTTACAGTAGATGTTAAATTTCGTCCTTATTGAAATTTCCCTATCACCATTTCTATATTAATCATTGCAAGAGGAGATGTAACTGGTACTTCATTGGCAGTTTGCTGTTGTGTAGGACTCCCAGTGGATCCAGTAGAACAATTTAATGATTCAGTTGAAATTTCATATTAAATCGTTAACATATGGGTAGTAGTTAATACTTACTGAATGTTTTAATCTAAACACAGATGGCTTTTGCTCGTAGTTCAGTAGTTTGCTAGAATAACCAGTCTGTGATCAACTTCAAATCAGTTTTCTGATGACTGGCCATTAGAATTATTGGAATTTTTTTTTTTCTTCTGCTTTCCTTCTTTCACAGCATTGCTTTCATGTAGCTTTACTGTTGCTATGTCTAATTCCAGCTTGTTCTGGGAATAACTATTCCCCAAAGAATTGGCTCATGACTATTCAGAGAGACCAAAACTATGCTGTTACGTATCCTAGGGTCTTTGAGCCCTCTTATGTACCACACTGTTCATCCTTCTACTTAGAAGGATGAACAAAGTTAGTTCAAACAAAGTTAATCTTGTATAGGAGGTTGTGCCCCTAGAAAGTTATTCTTTCATAACAACTCAAATGTGAAATGACTGTTCATGGTCTCACATATTTACAAACCAGTTAGAAATTGAACATTAACAATGTGCAAGTGAGTTCAGCATGTGAAAACACTGACTTTACAGGCATGCTTATTTTATTTTTCCTTCATAAACTCTGAAGAAGCTGTGGATTTTAGGGGACTACCCCCAGAGTGCTTTGGCTTCACCTCTATAGTGTGAGGGGCTCAAAGAAATTTTGCTTCTCCTACTCTCAGGTTTCTCAAACTTTTCCTCAATTAAGTTGTTTGTTAGTTCTTAATTTTTATTTTTTTTTCTGAGAGATTCTTAAATTGCTTTCCATGTTACCAGCTCTTTCCCTTATTTGCCTTTATTAGCCAAGGGCCAGCCTCTTAATTAGGTCATGTGCAGGAGAGAGAATACCTGCTCTGTCACACAGGAGCCAAACACACTGATCAACTTACAGGATCATTGACAGATAGCCGCGTTCTAGGGATCTGATCAGGTGCTGTGTTATTTGAACTAACTTGTGCTGTTTGACAGACCTGAAAATGAAAATGCCTCTTGAAGCAGCTTGTTGCAGAATACTAGAAAATAAGGATATAGTCAAACTCTTTAATGTGCTTGGTAGTGGTGGGCCACTTTTTAAATTCTATCTTAATTTTGTAATTACCTTGTTGGCAGTTATCAGAAAAGCACTTCCCCTGAAGGAATCCTAAGATGCTTTCTCTAGTCCTTTTTCTTTTGCCCATTGGTTTATTTTTACTTCTCCACATAGTGTCAGGTGTATCTTGTTGTTTGTGCATCTCTGACTTCCACCAGATCATTTTGTTGTGTTTGTTTTTTTGTTGTTTTTTTTTTTTTTTTAAAACTGTCCTCCCCTGAAAGCTATGTCTTTGTAGCTGCTATAATACGCACATATATCACAATTTTTTTTATCTAACTTTTGAAATGCAAATGCCGTATGACTTAGGGCAAACTACTTTCAAATTCAATTAAGATTCTAGTTAATTTGAACCTCTTAATTGTGTACTTAAAACAGTTGTCATTTTAGATAGAAAATTCTAAAGGTAAATTTTACAAATCCTGTTCTTTTTTTTGTTTTTGCAGCTGGTGCTGGAGCACCTTATCCAATCAGCCAGCCCCCTTACAACCCTGCTTATATGGATCCTCAGAAGCCCACCTATTGAACAGACCTACTACCGTGCTTCTGCATACAAAACTTTTTAAAATATAATCTGTTCTGTTTACACCATGCCGCTGTAGTACATTATCCTGGAAGACAGCAATCCTTTGTCTAAGTAAAGTGAAAGTTAATTCAGTATCCTTTGTGGTTTTAAATGTTTCAAGTACTTCTACAAGAAGTTGCTCATTTATACCTCAAGCTAATACAAAAATTGATTTTGTTCAATATACAGTAAGAAAAGTATGAAGAAGGGGTGCTTCAGAAATAAGAACCACAATAACATTTATCGTGCAATAATTTTTAAGTGTGGTAGAAAGGAATGGTCAAATAAGCATTATCAAATGTGCAAAGCTGTAGCAATCTTTTGCACAGTATTAAGTCTGAGAAACTCTGTGACACGTGTTCTGCCTGTTTTGAAGTTACTAGCATGAGGTAAGCTTCAACACAATACATTTCATTTATTGTTTAAAAAGGATTTTTACTTTTTTGAAGTGCATTTGCCTTCAGTAAGGGGTAGCGATTCATGTTTTAATTGTGTTTGGACTAGTTGCGTTATTCTGTGCTAAATAGCATGAGTTGGTCATTTTCTTGTTTTCTTTCCCAATTTTAAGGCTTAAAAACTGTGCCTTCATTGGGCTTTTTCTCAGGCTGTTTTACTTTATAGCTAGAAATCAACAACAAAATCAAACCTTCTGCCATTCAGTAGAACACAGATCAAAAGATTAAAACCTAAGAATTCTTCTTAAAAAATATTGGACAAGTGCTTTGTTTGCTTAATAGTCATATGTTGTTGATGTTGGGGGAAGAAAATAGCACCTTAATCATATGTTAAGCAGAAGCGACTGCCAGTGTTCGGCCATTCCTTGTCACAGAGAAGGGATTTATTTTACAGGATATATGTGATGTCAGAAGTAGACTTTTTTTAAAAAATGTTTAGGGTTTGTCACTGTCTACAACGGGAACCTAGAGATGATGTATCTTTATGAATCAAGTCTGTATCTGAAAAATACGAGTGTCAAAAAAGAAATGCCAACCAAACTTGGAGTAGAGGTTTAGCCTCCCTTTTGTCTTCAACATTCCCATAAAGCTGAGTAAAGAATGAGAAGTAAGGACTAAGAAGAGTAGTAGGATTTGGTCACAGTGCGGTAATATATTTTCAAGAACTATTAGCAGTGTTAGAAAGGCTTTTGGCTCTTGTACTGATCAAGTGAAACATGATTTTTAGTGTCCTCTACAACGCTACCTTTTCTAGCATTGAAGTACACTTTGTTATTTCTCAGTAGAGCTGTCTGTAGACTGTTGAATCTGTCACTGTGACATAACTAGTGAAATAATTTTGGCATATTCCATACACAGATTTTACTTGTTTAGAGAGGCCTTTTAGCCACTTGTCCTTGTGATTCTACATCTAGGGTATATAACTGTTTAAAAGACATTGAACTTACATAACTGATGGCATTGTTTTACCTCATATGATGGATGGAAGCTGCTATTGTCAAAGGCAGCCTTATTTCTCTAACTGATTTTGGGGGCCTTTTTCTGTGTTATTCCATTTTTTTATTTTTTTTTTTATTTTTTTTTTAAGAAAATCTTTAGGGCATTTCAGGAGAAATTTGTGGAAAATTTTGTAACATTGAGAACCATGACAACCTATGCCCCTACGTACACCACTCCAAGACTGTCTGAGTTAATAGCATGCAGTGGCACCAAGAGGCACCCGCGGAGTGCATGTTCCTCTATGTTCCTCCCCTTTTCTGCCTTGCAAGCTGGAAAATCAGGCAATGCGTCCTAACACTGTTAGGAGTTCTGTGGGAACAACCAGAAATGGGCACTGTCCCCTGTATGGAGGATGAAGTCTTTCCCTAGAAATCTGGAATATTTTTATGTAGGATAATAACTGCAGAAATAATCCCTTTTCTATAGATCCCCTACTCATGTGTTGATTCATATAGAAGAATGGCAGAGATTCCAAGACATTCCAGCAACTTTGTTAGTCTGCTGCCTGATGGAGTCTGGCCAGGGAAATGCAGCCAGCTGTTGGGCAGTTCTTGGAGCACAGGTACAATGTTCCAGTGTTGGCCCTCACGAGGTTGTTACTTCGCACCTCTTCCTTTCCTCTGCCTGATGTGGCAAAATGTATGGTTTGTGGTGGTGTTAGTAGGGTTATGTTTTGGATAAAAAAGGAAAATCTGCAATTTCATGACACATTGACTTAATCATCTGCCATCATCCATAACAAAAAGGTAGTAGGAAAGTAAACTGGCAACAATGAAAATCCCCAAATCTAAAATTTTGGGGTAGATGCAGATAGATAAATTGCCCTGAATATGACCACACATGGAGTGGTGGGAGGAGATCAGGGATAGGGTTAAGGAGCCTGTTAATTTACACTTCTCTTATAATGAACATCTGGTAATGTTGACTATATTCAAGTGCAGAGATGAATCATTAAGACACAATGAACTACTTTAGTTGTATTGTTACTACTTCAGTTAAAAAATGGTTGAAGGAAGAGAAAATGGTTTGCTTTCCTCATTTCAAAATTGGAACGCTTAATCGGGTCTTTTCTTACTAATGCATTAATCAACATTATTGATACAGCATAGGACCAAATTTTATGCAGTTATTGCTGTGCAACCCAATTAAACGTGTTTTCATATAGTTAAGTGAATGGGGCAGTTACAGAAATGATGGAGAGCTTGTACCTTAAACTTGTTCAAGTACTGGTAATATGTCAGTCCCATTTGCTAATGTCTTTACATCAAACTAGTTACCCACAGTGCTGTAGGGAGGGGTAATGGAATTCAAATTTTAAATGTTGAAAGAGTGTATGTTTTTTTTTGGTTTTTTTTTTTAGTTCTGTAAGTGCCTTTGTTTCAGAAATGTTTTGTGAAATTAAATACAATATAATATTCTGTTGGTCTGAATTTATTAGATAATCATTGTTGACTTTTACATACTGTAAACTAGCTTTGTATGTTGTTTGTAGTTCAAACATAAGTGTTCTAAAGAAATGGTATAAACTCTATGCACCTTTGTAATAAATGCAGTGTTTGAAATATATTCTTTTTTGTTTTCTCAATGTGTCTGAGTGCTAAGTCTGAGCATTTGGGAGTGTATCTGCAAAGCTACATTTTACTTAATTGCGTTTGACAGCAAGTGTATTTTAAGTTATCTTGTATTGTGAATATAACTTTTTGGTAACAGAGTCTGAAGCTTAATCAAAATTATAAGGTGCAATACAAAGGAACAAGATGAGCTCCTGAATGATATTCTGAGGGTGTGCTTCAAAGCTAATCTAAAAGAATTGCTTCTGAGGTCTTTTCTATACGATATTTGAATGCACTAGCAAGTCCCAAGATACTTGAAAAGTCTACTGTAGGCTAGATGATAGACTCCAAAAAAAGTTGTTATTTGATTGAAGTCTAATGTCCTTTTCTCAACACATTTTGACTTGCCTGTCAAATATATGCCTCGTTTTTCAGCTACACCAGTTTGGTGATGCTTTCTAGTCTGTGTGAAAACATTTTATCTGATGTTTTTTGGTATATTTTCCACTGTTTTTCTTTAAAAAGTTTTTGAAAACATTAGTCCTGAGTCATTACTCATTCAGTTAAAAATACTTGCTTTGGGTGGGTCAAGAATGCTTTTGGTAAGATACCACATGGTACTGAATGGGTTGATACTTGGTAATCCATTATTATTGTCTTGGATTGACAGCTAAGTTTCCAGTGTAGGATTTAATTATCTATATATTTACTTCTATTTGACACTTTAATTTTATTTCACATTTTCTCAACTGAAATTTCTTTTAGTTAATTTTTGACAGCAGACAAAATAAATGCTGCAATTAAAATAACTTCTGGATCAGGTACCTTTCATTCTAGCATTTCTTCCTCCTGCAGCTGGTTTCCATGGTTCATTCTTCAATGTCACTTTGGCCCTGGAATCAGGTAGGATCTGCTTTATAGACTGCTGGGCAGGTGTTACAGAACAGCTGTGATGTGGAGGAGGTCTTTAGCAGAACAAATCATTTATCTACATCCTCAAAATACCAACGTACACTCCTGTTCTATGTTCTCTCTGCTAGGAAACTCAGGCTGGAATATAACAGCCAGTATGAAAACAAACCAGCAGTTTTCCTCTAGATAGTCTCAAAAACAGGCCACCATTTGAGCAGCTGCTCAGAATAGCGTTTCAAATGCAAGCATTAGAACTAAAACTTCTAAGATTAATGCCAGGTGAACTGTATTTACCTGCTGCAGGGAGAAAGCACTCAGCACGTTGTTAGCTGTTTGCAGTTAAACTTCCTACAGAAAGTGTTTACCCTCACTCTTAGAAGAATTTTGATAAATTTCAGCTTCACTGGGGTTTTAGGTCTTTATAAAGTCACAGACTGTCTCTTCGTATCAGTCTGCTAAATTATAACCAATGAGATACAGCTCTTCAACAATTTAAACAGCAGTTTGCATTCATAGCAAATAATACAGTCCTTACACAGGCAAATTAGAAATCCTGTAATTAACCTTAATATATTAAACACTACAGACTGTAACTAACACAAAAATGTTATTTTCTAGTTAAGATAACTGACAGTTAAATAGTCTAGCACAGGCTAACCTTTCTTTTAAGCAATAATTTGCACAAGTGGGATTAAGATGAATAACAAGTTCCACAACTCAGCTCAGATGTTTTCTGCAGTATTTTCTATTTGCCATCTTCACCTATTACAGTTTGGCTTTTAAAAATGTGAGGCCTGACATGATACAAAACAGATGTTGTTTGTCTTGGCTGTAGAAATTCATGGACTGCGTTAGGTGACCTACAGAGGCCCCTTCCAACTTCAGCTAGTTGATGATCCTGAGCTGTAGGGAATAAGGTGCTATCTGTGCACGCACCATAAATGTTTTAATCGGTGAAGCACCATTTATTTTATCTGTGTACCTAGCTTTGGCAGAAATAAACTGTTCTGTGCTTGAATCCCTTCAGTGCATCGGGTCCCTGGATCACCACAGGACGGCACTTATCAACGCAGTGATGCATCGTCCTGAACTGTGACTTCGACCAGAAGTGTCAGTACGTCTTACAGTGCCAGTCGGCAAGGTCATCCGCCTCCTTTGTGTGTACGGTGTCTGAGTAATAGCTAAACTACTAGAAGCAATTGCCTTCTTCATCCACTTCTTGCCTAGCCTTAGCCCTGTCTGCAGAGCTCAGCTAGAGGGAAGCCAGCTAGCCTTAGCTCAGCTAGAAACAGCGGGCTGCCTGCTGCCGACTGATCGATGTGATGGTCACGTATAGAACACGACTAGTTTGTGCTGCTTAATGCTTCAATATGCACTCCTACAGCAGTGCTTGTTGCTGGAGTAAATTCCTTTTCTCAGAGGAACAGTTTATCTGTAACATGGGGAAATAGGAACTGGCCTTGAAAAAGAGCTGCTGTGCTGTGAATTCTACAGGGAGTGTCTGGTGAGAGCAGTCTGAGTTCTGTTATTTTCAGGTCATAGTTTGCCAGTGTGACCCCATTATCTATAAAAACAAAACAAAAAAAAACCACTTGAATGATCATCTGTTGCATACATGATTGGATCTCTAAAAAAATAATAATTTAAATCCCAAATTCTAAGAGAATGTAAAAAGGGAAGAATTACGAAAATCCTGTTCTTTTTGTTAGTAACTATAAATGACCTAAATAACAAATTATGGCAATTCTAAAGAGAAAAAAAAAGTGTAAGTATACTCACAAGAGTATAGCCTCATTTTTTCTTAGGAGCATGAACTTTTCAGTTGCAGAAAATGTTTTAAAAGCTGCCTTTCAATGTCATCATACCATGATGTTACTATCACTTCTATTGGCAAAAGTATGAGGTGGTTTTTATTTAATATAGCCTCTGGAATACCCCAGGTTATACCACTTCAAAGTCAAAAGTAGGATGAAAACGATCAGAGTGTAGATGTACATGTTAGGGTGTTGTCTGTTAGAGTGGGTGGATGGGAAGGAATCCAGTGCCAGAAGGGAACAATTTATGTGTATTTTCCAAGCATTTTCTCCACAGATAACACTCCTGTTTATACAAAGTTTAGCAGTAATACACATCTCTCTCTTACCAAGCTGTCCTTGAGATGAAGCCAGGAATTTCTTAAACCCGTTTTTTGTAACTTTGGCTTGTGCTAATGATTTGGGATTCCTTAACTCCTTTTAGACCAACCTCTGCTAACAGCTCATTTCATCTGTCCACCCAAAGAAGTGATTTGAATTCATCTTCTCTCTGTATGCTCAAACTATGTTTATAGAAATTAGGTGGTGGAAACAGCAGAGAGCACTCAAAAACTGATGGCAGGTCACTGCATTTTGGGATAGTGTGACAATCGTAGCTTTGATAGAACAGCTCTAAGTTGGCCCTTTTCAGCAGGCTGAGTGCTGGCTACTGCTTTACAGCTGCTCACAAGACTTTTTAAAGAATTACCTTCATGTTTATTCTGGCCTTTGAGTAAGGAAATAGTCTTTAATTTGCATTTTCAAGCTCTTCTCTCTAATCCTAAAGGCCAGGACTTGCCTTTTTTTTGTTTGTTTGTTTTTTAAGTGTACTAAATATTTTTACATCATGCTGAAACTTGTGTAGTTTGTCCAGTGCTATGGTGGTGCTCTTAAGGTAGTTACAATGCAAACATACTTGAACTTAGAAGGAAAGCTTTGCTGTATGTGCCTGTATCCTTCCTTACTGTATTCAAGCAGGAAAACAGCATTCTCCAGCTGCTCTAAAGCAACTTCTGAAGCCTGTTACTGAGAGGAGCTGCTGGCAGCTTGTGGATAGAATTTATCACGGCAACCAGCAGCCCAGGCCTGGTGGAGCTCCGCCAGGTGTTGCTCAAAGTGTGGAGGATTAGCCCTGAGCTGCGTTGTGGGAGAAAGGAGCGAAGCTTTGTATCTAGCAGCTTTGGCCTGAGAGAGATGCTGGATTACTGCACCAGCTATTCCTGTACAGCTGTTTCTGGGAAAGTTCTCTTCAAAAGCAAGAGCCCAGCCAAGAGCATGCTTAGCACCCTGGGCAGGGTACAGCCTCTTTGTGTTAAGACCAGAGAACTGGATCTTTCCCAATTTTCCAAGGGCTTGCCTCCCACCGTGGTGCTCTCCTCTTCATTCTGGTCCTTGGATCCAGGCTTTTTTTTTTTTTTGAGTATGACTGTGTCCCTCTTGTGCACCAGCACTGCAAAAGGTGATGTAAAGCATCTGCCTGCTCAGTCCTATCGGTACAGCATGTGGGGCTGCCCAGCCTGGGTGCCAGCCTAACACCCAGAGCAGCTGCAGAGGATGCAAACCACCACCCATCCAGCCCCAGGGAGATGAACTGAAAAGGTATTTATGGTCCATGGCTTGCTTTGGCCCCAGGCAGTCCTGATACACCTCTCACCTGCTGAAGAGGATAGCAGGAGAAGATACAGTGCTAATTTTGTTACACAGCAGATGAAAATAATAAACAGCTTAGGGTGATAAAAAAGTAGGAGACCAAAAATATTAGGCTTTAAATTAAGAGCACTCTTGACAGTACTGTTTGCTATCTGACTGTAATCCTGTCTTGGTAGGAGTCCCTCTTCCCTTATTTTTTTTTGCCTTCGCAATTTGCTCAGCTGTAATATGATGTCTGTTAACTGCAAAATCTAGGAACATGAAGCTGTAGTTTCTTTCATAAGCACTAAAATTGGCACACTGTCCTCCTTGTACTGAAGTACATACAACGTTAAAGCAATTGAAAGCTAGGATTGATTTAACTTAGTTTACTATCTGTATCTCATTTCTCCCCTACTTCCTTAGTAACACTACATAAGGTCAGTTTTGGCCTTAGGAAAGGTTTGTTCCTTCTTTTGAGATGCCTCATAAATGCACCTTTCACTTAAAAATTGAAAAAAGTTCAATATTTGTTAAAAGAAGGTGTAAGCCATAGCTTCCTCTATTCAATTCTAGTATTCTATAGAATTAGAATCAGGTATCTGTCAAAAGAAGAAAAAAAGCATTCCAAGGTAAAAACAAACCTCTAGGCTATTTTAGAAGCACTTACACTTCTGCTAAGATCTAAGGTTCAGCCACTACCAGCAGCTGGTAATAAAACACAGTTGAAAGGGTAAAGCAACAATTCTCCTCAATGTTTACGTTACAAGAATGAGATGGTAACTTTGGGAAAAAGTTCTATTTTTTGTTTTGGCACCTTAATAGTTGTACTTCCAGCACATTCACAAATTTGAGGGAAAAAATGAGTGATCTTGGATGATTATTACAGGACTTTGATGAATTTCTTGCTCAGAACTGAACTGCCAACTCTAAGTTACTTCTACAAATTTATAAAAAGCACAATAAACAATCTACTAATATCAACCTGAAAATGTGGAAGTCATGCAAGAATGTGTTAACAGCTGCAAAAGAAACAGATCAGATATTTTTAGAAGACTTCCATATGAACTCAGTGATCACAAACACCTCAGGACATTCAGCATCATAAATTTAGCTGAAATTTAGCTTAGTCACAGTAAAATGGAAAACAAAAAGTTTCCATTCTATTTACAGCTGTTTCATATAGAATGAAACTCAAACAGAACCATTCGTAACCCCTGGAGTGGTTTTGCACAGCAAAACAGTACACTGCAGTATCATTTTTCTTACATCAAAATTCCTTTGCTTTCAGGTTCACTTGGATAGCACAAAATCACAACAAAGAAATACATTTTTGTTTGTTTGTATTATCATTTAATAAAACAGATTATTTAATTTTCAGATTGTCACTGATTATTATGATTTAAATAAGGAAGGAGAGAGACCCTTGGTAAACATCAGCTAACTGCAGTCCATTCCCTGATCTTCTGCTTCTGGCTCAGGAGGATACAATTCATCTAACATCAGCTCTGCAACAACAGAAAAGCACGTGTTTTAGAGAATTATTTTTGTACTTAATAAAATTATAGCTGGGATTTTTTTTTTTTTGAAATACAAACAAGACTTCCTCTAGAAGGCTGTAGCAAATAGACTTTCAAAGTTTAAATGTAAAGAGGTCTTTATATATGTGTTTTGTCATACAAACTTTCCCCACCTCCTCCTCTTTCCTTTAAGGCCTAAAACTAAGGAGAGCACTACCTTGGACAACCAAATTTAGTTACCAGGGGAAACATAGCGAAGAGAACTTTTATTTAAAAGAACTATTTAAGACTATTAATTAAGTAAGTTTTAAGCCTTACTGTTATAAACTTATTTTAAAAAGCCACTAGGCCAAAAGCACAGCATTTTGTGATTAGCAGGAAGAACCTGACTGGTAAGTACACACGTGCAAGCACACACATGTACCACCATCCCCAAAATTGTAAGCCGTTACATTCTTCTGGTCCATTTCCAAGCACAGCTAGACAAGGTGTTAGGAGAAGTTCCAGAAAACTTTAGGACACTCTAAGCAGAGTAGAACAAACACGTAGCGTGCTGTTTAGTTTCTTCAGAGAAGTCACTGTTAGCACTTGTGGCATGTTCACATCACCTGCCTTACTGATGCAAAATACCACCACTGAAAGATTTATCACACGGACTCTACTCTTAGTAAGACCACATGTTGTCTGGTGTCCTGTAGCAAACCGCATACTGACATGAGAACACAGTCGCTCACATTAGCTCTAAAATATGCATGGAAATAACGCCACGAGTGGATGAAGAGGTGGCATCAAGGTCCAGGGAGCAGAGACAATTTCACTAGATTAGCTCTGCAGGAAATAGACACGAAGTGTGCAAAGCAAGGGGAAAGTCCTGATGTTAAATGGGCTAAAGAAGCTTTTGGGGTAATGGAGGAAGGGTGGGGTGGAAGAGGGACAAGGAAGATGTTAAGGGATGCAGGGAAAAAACAATTGCAGAGAGAAAGCGTAATGCTAGTTGGAAATTTGGAATAATTTAAAGTGAGGTAACATACAGTGTAGATTGTTCTACTGAAGGGAGGGGGAGCAAAGGATTTTGTTTGATCAAACAAAATATCCACATTATTTGGTACATAGTACTTGTTAACTGAGGAATGAGACAGAAGTGGAATTTCATTCACACAATAGAGAAGACAAAACAACTCTGTAATGTGACTTGATTTACCTTCACAGGCACTCAATTTTTGATTTTTTTTGAGAATGGCTCTTATGCCTGGCATAGCTTGGTCATACTGATGGAGTACTTCCAAACAGTGTTCGTGAAACAGTTTATCTTTCTGAGATAGGCTGTGTAAGAGTAAAACAGCATCTCGTAAAAACTGAATAATTTGCTCCTTATGCGCACACAAGCCGCTATCAGATCTTCTCATCTTCATCCACTGTCTATGTAACATTACAATTAGTGCCTTAACCACCTGCAAGAGATAAAAGTCTCAGTATACAAAATAAAATTAGAGCAGTGGAAAAGTTATTATGAGCTTCACTAATCAATCTTTTCAGACATCCAATATTTTCTAGCAAGCAAAAACAAGCTTTCCAGAAGAAGGCAGACTTCAAAGTACAGAACACTTCTGTTTCAGTGTAGCTAAAAAATGGTAAAAAACTACTTCAGCATTGTTAGGAGTAACTTTTAAGTTTTCAGTAGAATAAATTCAGTAGCTGTAGTGACGTACCTCAGGATTACACTGGCAGTCTGTACCAGGTAGTAAAATTGCTGGCCTGGAACACCGTGTACACTTTGTCAGGAGTCTAACTGTCTATTACAAAAACATGCATATGGCATTACAATAAGTACTAGGGTTCTGCATAATTATCACACAATTTAGCTGCAAATAAAGGGAGGTAGAAATGTCATTTCATTACTGGTTTTAAACATTCTTGGTTCTTTTCCTAACAATTCATCTTTTTACCCCACCAAAAGAAAAACAAAATGTTAGAGGAAAAACAAACACACACTAAGACAGACGTGGAATTTGCCTTGCACAGAAAACACTTCAGCTTCCTGATAAGAAAGGCTGACAAGGATTCAGTGCATACACATCAGGTGTTTGCACTTCCTAAATGCAATGCAGACAGGGGATAATGAAAATACTTTTAGAAAATAGTTCAAAATTCTTTTAAGTGAAAGTAGAGGTGGAACAAATGGTAGAACCCCACAAGCCACCCCTGGCACTACGAACAATATAAATTCAAAAACTATTCTCCCTATACAGGATCATGCATACTGTACAGCAAGCTAGTATTTCACCATATGCTGTATTTCATTTGGAATGATTTCAAAGATACAGTTCAGAAGTAAATTATAAAATCAAAATGAAACACAGGTCTTGTTTCCTTTTACTCCATCAATATAAAAGCAAAACAAAACTTGTAGTCTTGAACATTTACAGACATCCTAAGAGCCTTCTCGCTTTTTCAATGACTTAACTATGTTGACTGCTATGACTGATGTTATCTTGAAGAGTGGTTATTGATTGAATTTCAAACAGCTTCTTTTAAAAGTCAATGTAATCCTTTACTGCAAGTGAATACTCTCAATTTTTGTTTCAGTTGAAGATAGAACTTATTTCAAACAATTTGTGCACTGCCCTGTTCCTCCCTTCCCACCTCCCACCCCCCAATAGGAAAAAGCACAAGAACTAACAGCTGCTGTTACCTCTTGTTCCAGCTGAAGCCAAAGCACTTCAGATGCTGATTTATCTGGCCTTGATGTGATATACATGTACAGTGCAAGAAGAAGGCAGGTATCTGAAAGAGAGATAACTTTGTTCTTTTTCCAACTAGTTAATTGTCTGTGATAAAAAAGAGTATTTTTTTTCCACAGAAGATAACATATTCCAGAAAATATGTAGAGTGCTATCCTGGGCTCAAGATACAGATTCAACTTCTTGCTTTACTTGCAGACACCTTAAGCAGTGGTGAAGAAATTAGTACCCCTAAACTTTCTATGCATTTGTGGTGCTACTCTCCTATTACATTTTTTGTGGGTACTAGACAAAGAGTATTTGTCATGCAGGGTACTGTAATCCCTAAACTCAACATCGTCATGAGTGCAGGTCTCCTGCAGAACGGAATTAGCCTTCAAATCCTTGAAACCCCTTTTTCCTTACCAACTTTTAATATAGTAAACTTTCATCTGGAAAGTAGCTTTAGAAGTCCAGATGGGTATCAGAACTGCATGGCAAGGATACTGCCAGACAAAATATTCTTCAAACAGTAACTGGAACTCGGAGCTAGAAAACGTTTTCAGGCTTTGCCTTTGGGGGGTTTAATACTTTAGAGCAAGGCCTATTTGTATTATTTTTAGTTGTGCTAACTAACATTCAACTGTTAACAATTATGTGTTAGGCAATCTTTTACCTGAATGAGAACAAAGCTGAGCGACCAACATGTGGTGTTGAGCAAGTATACACAACAGTTTCACGGTCAAAAGGACAGCATGCAAAGGGATCTCGGGACACAGACAACGGAGCAGTATCTGGCTACTCAGTAAGTGCTGAAAACTTCAAAAGAAAAATCTGAGTTAGAAACATGAAAAGCACTGATGATTTGAAAATAATTCACCATTTCTTACATGCAGCATTGTAATTCATGCCTTTTCAGCCATTCAAAACTAGGTGATCTCAACTTACATGCCATGAGCTGAAAAACACATTGTTAGATTTTGAAGACAGTCTGCAATTCACACTATGGTTCCATATATTAGACATTAGCAGACAAATTGTTGCACTTTTGAGTGTGCCATTTTATGTGCCAGAATAAATAAATATTATAAACATTTTGTAGTATAAAGTTTATATACTTATAAACCATATGAAATATTCAAATATTATCATATTAATATAAAATATAGAGTAAATAAATAAAACAGAAAGCCCTGTGCTTTCATTTCTTATGCATCTTCCAGCAATTGGAAGAAAAAACCAAAAACCCTCATGAACTGCATAGAGCCTTGAGAAGTTTTCTCTCTTCAAAGTGACAGCTATGCAATGAGGCAACAGCATCTGCTTCATATAAACTTATAAGCAGATCTTATTATTAATTTGGGGCAATTATCTCATTTATTAGCAGCAAAGGCAGATCCTCCCATGCATCTCAAAGATGAGCTGAGAAATAAGATATTCTCCCATAAATGTCAGAATTTTTACTGTCATCTGCACAAATTAGTTTAAACAGAGAATGAAAACTAAGAGCCTGAGATCATTTTAAAGCTATTACTGACTTACTTTATTAGCAAGTCCACTGTTGAATTTTCAGCTAATTTTACCAAAACTTTCAGGCTTTGCTTTAGTATGTTATCAGTCTGGGAGCCTGTTGTAGTAGAAAAATCTAAAACCTGAATCAGCTTTCTGAACAAAGAATGTTGAGCTCGATCGTTAATAGGGACATCCTGTGAAGCTTCAGGCAGCCCTCCTTGTGTCCTGGTGTCTTCTTTATTATCACACAACACATCTTTGTCCATCTTGGAAATCTGTTCATCTCCAACAGTAGAACCTTCTTCTACTTCAGTAGACAGCAATATGTGGACAACATCCCAGCTATAAAATGCCAAATAATAAAGAATACCCAGTGATATAACTGTTGTTTCTTCAAGAGACGACCTGAAGTCCTCCTTACTTGATACCATATTTGTGCTGGTTCGAGAAGAAACAACTGAGTGGTTTCCACAAGAACCATTTACTGCCTTGTCCGCCAATTGTACTGCTTGACAGTATGCACCAATGTGGTGCTCCACCAAGGGCAAGAGATGCACAGCGCCTCGGATCTTGCAACGTTTGAGGGGCAAGAACTCTCTCCCACTTCCTGCTAGGCTTCCTTCAGCTGACCCTTCATCCATAGCAATCAAGTTCAATCCTGTTATTGCAAGTTTTTGAGCTTCTCGCAGGGATACAAGAGGAGCAATTTCTTCCTGAGTTGTCCTGATGCTGGGTATTTGTGTCGGCTTCCTATCCGCATAAAATTAAAAGAAGGAAAATACTTCAGCAAAAGAAAAGGTAGCAAACAGTTGAAAATTTTGATTTCATTTATTAGTTATCCATATTCTGAATGAAATAATAGAAAGGCTACTGTAGTTAGGTGTCTATTCCCAAAATTAAAAAAAAAACAACTACTCCTTGATACTTGCATGGAAGAACAGTATCAAAACAATCCTAAGTCTTGTGAAAGTATTCAGGACTGATAGTTGTGTAACTTTACCAGCTCGTTAGTAACCATTGTCTAAAGCTACATTTCAAACACTGGCTTCTCAGCTGATGTGCTTGAGACCTGTTGTATATTCCTATCTTCCCCTGAAGTTACTGGGTAGCTTCTGGGAAGAAGGAATATTTGTATATTACTGATCTGTAACAGGAAGGGGCTGTCAAAAGACAGCAACAAAAAAAAAATGGAGGAACAGCTTTTAGCAATTAACTAGTCAAAATGCAGCTACAAAGACCAAATGGAGAAACTGCCTGCGTAAGTGGTATGGGCAATGAGACGTGAGCCATGGCATAAACCCCACAAAACACAAGAATTACTAATAAAACAATATATCAGAAAAGCAAAGGAATTTCAGGAGCTACAGTCTAATTCTTTAAAGTGAGAATCATGTTTGAAATGTAAAGTGTGATATTAAGTTTTCAAAAGTTTATTATTAAAGAAGATGTATTCAAGAGAGATGGTGATAATAAGCCTGGCTGATTTGTCTTGGGAAGCAGAAAAACAGACTGAGTAGATGATTAACTTGAGAAAGCTCTGTTGAAAACCTTTAATAAAAGTTCTCCTGCATCAGTGGGTGCAGGAAAACATTTGCAAGGTACCATCTTGTAAACCTTCCCATAAACTATGGGTTGTGATCCAGATTTTGTGAGCAACTAATTCCTTTCTAAATTATTATCTTGAATTTAACTATCAACAAGAGCTAGCCTTTATGTCCAAGTAAACCTTAAATAAAAAGTATAGGATTCTCAACAAAAAAGCAGTAAGGCAGGTAACAACAAAAATCTTAGGAACAAATATGACTTTTAAAGACATATTCAGCCAATTTTATATCTAATATTCGTATTTAAATGCTTTACAGAGCATTGTGTCTGAGAAAAATTGTACATGAATTGAACATAAATTTAGATTAAAACAAAAACTCTACAGTTCTTTTGATCACGTTCTTTTGATGAATTTTTTTCACTGATTTTTTTTTTGATGATTTTACTCTTGACTCATGATCTTGTTTATACATTTCTTTCACTGCAAGTTTTATATCCTTAGATAGATATGGATAGCTGCGGCTGATAGCAGCTTTAAAGTTTTACTTATTCCTGTGCCTTCCCCTAAAATAAAATTAACCTGGTTTCTCTCTTAGTGTTTCTCCAGTATTTAGTATCCACAATAATCAAACATTAATAATTGAAGACACAGCATGAATGACATTCCAAATTGTGCTTTAAATGGCCTCAGCAAAACAGCATTGAACACAAGGAAAGTTGTGAAGTATCCAACACGAGTCCTACATGAGTAAGCGTTTCATACAGAGTATACCACTACATTGCCACTATACTAAGAACACATCTGATACGGTAAAACAAAAAGTAAACTTACGTATCCAGAAGGTTAGACTGCAACATAGCTCCTTGTAGGGTCTCCGAGTTACTGCTAAGAAGGTGGCAAAGACCTAGTAAAGACCCAGGGACAATGGGTTGCTTCATCAGTGCATTCAGTAAGATAGAACCTGAAAAGATATATAATTGTCTTTGGAGTAATTTTACCACCAACGACAACAGTAACAAAAAATATTTCAAAAGATTAACCTCATTTATAGTGCTCTCAACCACAAAATTATTTTTTCATTACAAATTTTCTCTTTCTTACAAGACAGAAATCAGGAAAAGATTCATGTTCTAAAATTCATTTTTTCTGAAAATCTTCAAGATGTGATTTAAGTATTAACTAAGTTATATTTAGAGAGATTTTAATTACAATCCCCATATTAGCAAAATATCTCAATCCAAATGATTGTTATAACCCACAACTGTCCTGGTGACTTGCTCCCCCTTTTCCAGTCCAGACATTAAAACCATGTGATACAATCCTTTTCTGAACTGGAAGTAACATGTTGAACATTTTAAATGCTGCCCTACTGTTTTTACTTAAAAAAAAAAAAAAAAAGTGTGTAAAGTTTGCAATAAAAAGTGTAGTATCTTAATAGTGAAAGAGCCACCCTCCTAGTAAGATGCCTCTCAATCTATGTCTTGGTCCAAATCCTTCCGTAAAGCAAAAGCCAGGCAAACCTTTTTCTTAAATAGAGTACCAGTATCAGAATGTTGTGGAGATACAAGATAATAATATAATCTGAAATGTTTTATAGCAAAATCACAATGCTCAAAGCAAAAAGCAGCTGGCTCACAACCTCTTTGCACTGGCACTGCACACAGCGGGTTCGTCAGCCTGACACTGCTTAGTACCGGCACCTTAGCCGTACCTCAGAAACGCTCACTGTTTCTGTGCTGCCAGCAATACCTTACCTTGCGTGTTTCGTTTATGTACAGATTTATAGGAACCGTTTTTTCCCTCCGTTTCATTCTTCATGGATAAAACTTCAGGATGGGGTATCTTACTATCTAAAACAAACGGGAATTACAATTCATGTGTGAGAACTAGACGGCTTACAAATCCTTATCTAACATTTACACACATTCAATTAGCCACAGCCATTATATAGGAAGTACACAGGCAGCAGATCAGCATAAAATACGAATTTTGCATAACTCAGTAATGTCAAATAATAATCACAGAATCATAAAATAATTTGGAGGGGACCTTAATGATCATCTAATTCCAATCCCCTGCTGTGGACAAGGACACTCCCACCAGACCAGGTTGCCCAAAGCCCCATCCAGCCTGGCCTCAAACATTGCCAGGGACGGGGCAGCCACAGCTTCTATGGGTAGCCCGTGCCAGTGCCTCAGCACTCTAAGAATTTTTTTCCTTATATCTAATCTAAACTAAAAAAAAAAAAAAAAAAAGGTTAAAGCCATTACTCCTTGTCCTATCACCACATTCCCTGATAAAGAATCCCTCTCCAACTTTCTTTTAGGTCCCCTTTAGGTACTGAAACACTATAATACTATCTAGTTAATATAGTAACTATAATGCTATAGCTAAGAGCTGTGATGCAAGCAGAATTGCTCCCTAAAATACATTAGAAAATGTAAAAATGTAGAAAAAAAGCCTTGGAGGGTTACTAAGACAACTGAGTGTGTTTTTCAAACAAATAGGCATACTGAATGTTGTTACCAGAATGAATAGGTGGTGGTGGGGAATAACTGTTAATCTTTTAAGGCTACTGTATTTATTTTTGTTTGGTTTTGGAAGTTCATACTGCCCACAGTTTCAGACTGAATACTGTAGCTGAAGGGTAATGTCTCAGATTTTTCATTTTGTTTTCTGTAAGCATTAGCTGATGATACCCAAATTTTGTTGGCTGCTAAAAACAAACAAACAAAAAAAAAACCACACTATTTTTGTTTCATATTATAGCAATATTCAAACATATTTCATTTTCCTAAGTTTTACGCAATGAATTTAAAGATGCAATTTTGTGAGAATTACTGCTGTATACGTAGAAGAGGAAATGAGTAACCGGTTTCATCTGTTTCTTTCAATGTGGCTAAATACATACCATTTAAAATAAAATGCCAAAAATGGTCTGTTTATTAAAGCCAGAATTGCAGTAATACAAAAAAAAAGCATTAGTTGCCTAGCAGACGTTTTCAAGAAATAGGCAAATTATTTCCTGTTCTTTCTTCAGTGACAAAGGCAGATAACAATTTGGGTATTTTAGTTCATCCCATAATAAATGAAAGTTTTTCATCACAGCCAACAGATACTTCATCACCGATATCCTGGCATCTGGTACACTGCCATTTACCAAGATGTGAATTCAATTGATCTTCATGCAAATTTCAGTCAAAGCTTAAGGTCAATTGCTATAAAAACAAAATAAATTTAAGCAAAATCAAACTAAGAGAAATACTTTTTTTCCCTTGAGCACTCTTAATGAAACCACTCAGTTACATAGTACAAAAAGCTTTACGTAAAGCAGAATGTTCATACGCAGCTAAAAACGTTGCAAGCTATATAGGGGTTTACCTTCTTTGATAGAAGCAGCCTGGGCAAACAACTTTCTTGAAGAAGATGGTCTAGTAGATGTGTCAGCGCCGAAAGACTCTTTTGTAGGAAAAGATCTTCTTCCAGACTGTGGAGAACATCCTTCTGATTTCACTTGGATTGCAGAATTCTTTTTAGGGCTATTTAAAAAAATAAAAAAGCAAGAGGAAAAATTACCCCCCAAATCAACTTTGATGGATCAATATCTCTTTCAGAAGTATTTTATTAAATAGTAAAGAAAGATCTATTTAATAGTGTTTGTAGCATTGATGTTTTAGATGTATTTCACTATCCACTCTTTGTAAGCAAGTCTTTTAAAGCAAATTCCACAGGGGTCAAACTTTTTTTTGGATGTATTTTTTCAAGAAAACAGAACTAAGAGTTACATGAAGAAAGAAAACCTCTGTAGTACTTCAAGTATATGTATTATAAAAGGCAACACAAATTCATTTTCCAAAACTCATACCTTGGTGTTAAAACTGTTTGAGTAACATGTTTGTTTCTCTCACAGTTCTGAAGTCGCGTTCTTAGTTCATTCATTTCTGCATCTTTGAACTGCAACTCTGACTGCAAGGACAGTATCTGAAAGGGGAATTCAAGAGACAGTTTTACTGTTACAGATACATGAGCGGTGCTATAACTGCAAAGCAACTCAAATTACTGTAAGATTTCAAGATTACCATCTACTTACTGTGATCTCTGCACAAGATCTCCATTTTTATGTATCCTAATCCAATTAATACTATGTTAGAACCAAGTGTCAAAATTCAGGCAAGAAACGTATGACTTGGTAAGACCAAGTGCCACGCAGAGTATGACTACAGTGAGGCCATTAACAGCAGAGTAAACAGCACAAAAGCAGCCACTGTCCTCTTCAGGGGCTTTCAGAAAGATGACTGCAACAGGAATAGCAATCTGATCAGAGTCATACAGCATATTCTGTCTATTTTTTCCATTTAACAATACATTCCAATTGTAATTTTCTGGGGACTGTTTAAGAAAACATTAAATAATCAAAAAATTCTACCATTTTAACTTTGTTCTTTTATGCTGGCAGAAGAAACCTACCAGCAAGTTCTTACATGTGTTTTCTTCTAGATAACAAAATAAAAGCATACATGATTTAGAAGTTTCACACAAATCTTCTTCCTTTGACTAAATGGACTATAATATCATTTAAGTCATAAAACTAGCTTCCACCTGTGATGTGAAGGTAACTGTTATAGTTACAAACCTTTTTGGAGAACTCTTTTTCTTTTTCCTTTAGGGTCTGAGATTTTTGCTGTTCCAACAGCATGTATGATTTTTTCTGTTCCTCCATAGCACACTCCATCTGCTGCATTGAGTCGCGCAAAATTTTAATTTCTCCATTTTTAGTTAGAATTTCATCCTGCATTTCTTTCAGCTGCGAAGAGATGAATTCCATTAAACGATGTATTTGTATCATTATCTATGTGGTCGAAGATTAAACGTGCTTATACTTTCTAGAGAGAAAAATGCTTCTCTAAACCAGTTTAGAAAGTCTGCAATATAGTTTCTAATCTTTTATTTTTTTTTCCTAATTAAGTGTTTTCTCTAACAGAATTATAAAGTGACAGCAAAGGTATATGTCAATGTTCTATCCTGGTATCTGTCAGAGACCATTCTTTCACCTCCTCTATGTTTATGCTATTTCTTTGACAAGTACTCTAGTCGCACACAACAAAAACTTATTAAAATGTTGGGATGTAACAATGATAATTTAACCACAGTATCTCATCAAGCACAGCAGCCAACAACAACGCTGTCCTCGGACAAGTTACCACCCCCAGACAGTATGTTCATGACACGTATAGCCTCGATTACTCTGAACAGCCATCACTGCTCAGAGACAAGACTGGAGAGAGAACAGAATGGGTTATTCAGAAAAGAATTGAGAAAAAAGTATAAAGACACCTCTATATCAGGATGTAAAATGATATTTTACCCTCACGTGGTGTACAGGCAGGGTCTTCCCAATAAAGGAGGAAACAAAAGAAGTGGAAGAGAGGTAAGGATGGTGACAGAACTGTAAATAGCGTAGGACCCTTCCATATGGGAGAAAGCACAACTGCGAGGAAACAAAGATCTATTGAAGCGGAACCGCTATGCAGAAATTATTGCTATTTGCTGCCTCTCTCAGTAGTCAAGCCCCATCTGCTAGAACCACACATGACCTTCAAAGCCAAATCAAAGAAGACATTTTCTGACACAACGTGTTGTTAAGCTGCTGACCGCTTTGACGCTAAGAGCTATCAAAAACCAGCCACCTGGTCATTTTAAAAAACAGACTGAAGGATATCACACTACCTCTGGTAGCAGTTTCTGTGTGAAGTTTTACCAGAGACTAAAAGAAAATGGTAAAACATTTGCACAACCCTGCTCAGATCTGATGTTTGAGCTGCTGGACGGGGCGCGTCCCTGCACTCCCTGCATCTCTTTCCTGTTCCCACGCGGCATCCCCGGGAGGTACCGCAGCCACCTCCGTGCCCGCCGCCGCCCACCTTGTGCCGGATCTCTTCGTGCTGTGTCTGCAGCACCTCGTAGCGGAACGCGTCCCTCGGCAGCCCGGTATCCGCGCCGCCCCCTGCTGAGGAAAGAGCCCGGCGGGCCGTGAGGCTCGGCTCGGCTCGGCTCGCCCCAGCGCCCCCCGCTCCCCTCACACCGACCTGCGGGCTCCTGCCCCGCAGCCCTGCCCCGCGGCCCGGCCCGGCCGCCCCAGCCGCGCCCCGCGTCCTGCGACAGCGCCTGCGAGGCGAGCGTCTCGATCTCCTCCAGCTCGTCCGCCGTGAAGTCGTCGCCGTCCCCGAACGGGTCCTCCGGCGCCTCGCCGCCGCCCGCCGCCGGCCCCTTGGGGCGCTTGTGAGGCGGGACGCCGTTGCCCAGCGGCGCGGCCGGAGCGGGGCCCCGCACCCAGCCCGCCCCGCACAGCGCGGGGCCGCTGCGCTTCCGCGGCCCGGGCGCCGCCATAGCGGCCGGCGCCGAGCTCTGAGGGGACGGGGCGCGGAGCCCGCCGCGCCGCCCGGCAGCCAATCAGCGGCCGGCAGCCCGCCCGCCCGGCCAATGGGGGCCGCCGCGGTGACGTCACGGCAGCTCGCGTCACCGCCCCCTCGCTGTGGTAAATCCCCCGCGGCCGCCGCCTCCTGGCCCTTTGGGGCCTTTCCCACAGAAATTGGGGTCCCAACCGCCTTATTTTCACTTTTTTTTTTTTTTAAATTTTTTTTTATTTTGTTTTGTTCTCTAATAAAGCAGAGCCGGTAGCGGGTCATAATATCGGGAAAGGGCTCTGTCTGCGAAAAATCTGTGGTAAAAGCCTGCTGCTGGGCTACCGGCAGCAGTGGGCTGCTGTACTCGCACCTCAGTCTGTCCGTAAAATGTCCCTAAATTGGGCTGCAAAACCGCCTTTCCAGCTGCTGTCTGCTCCAGGTAACCCAGGTGGGCGTAGGGCCACCAATATGCTGCCAAACCCTGCCGAGCAGGCCGTGGCCTCGCAGCGTTAGGCTCTGCAGGAGGCTCAGTGACAGCCCCGGTGCTAGGGAGCCCTGGTGACCCTCACACGAGGCCCGCGGTGCTGCTGGCAGCACATCTCAGCTTCCACAGGAGAAATCTGATTGCTTTTGTTCGTTTCTCTGCTGCCCTTCGCATGCAGTGCACTGAAATCACTGCTGGAGCACAATGTGTTTTATTCATCGTTCGTGCATAAACAGTGAGAGCCTGGGACCAGCTATAAAGGCCAAAAGAAAGGCAGCCTGAGCGGTGCTCTCAGCTGGCCCAGCTCCTGCACTAACCTGGTCACAGGTGAGCCCTTAGGATTCAGGCAGCTGCAGCTACTTAGCACAAGGGGGAGTGGTTGTAAAGAGAAGGTTTGCATCATTTTACCGGTGGGGTATAGGTGTAAGTCTTCTTATAAAAAGATATACCTTGTTAATTAACTTATTAGGTGGAGGAGACTGTGGAAAGTCTTGGCATTTACTTCATTGAATGTGTCCTTTGGAAATACTATTTGTGTCTGTAGTGGGAATGTTAGCGTCATGTTTGGCTCTGTAGTGTGGTGATAAAGGCACTTACTGTTTGTAAGAGTGTTTTTACTGGGTTATGTTTAATGAGAGATGCTTCAAATAGATGGTGTAAAACAAAAACTTATTGCGTTAGTTAAAACCTTCTTGTAGAGGGTCTAGGTTTCTGTGTCAGTCACTCTAGAAAGGCAGACTGAGAACTGTAAGCAAAAAGGATCTTGACTAAGATTTTACTTGGTCTTTGTATTTTTCATTTTATGATTATTTTATATGATAACAGACTGGGCTAGCGCTATTGTTAGTTATTGTTTTTACTTTTAATAGTGATGATGTATGGCTGATACAGCTTCATCCCCCCCCGCTAAAGTTGAGGAAAAAATAGAGTAGAAAACTTGCATATACTTTTTTTTTTCTTTTTAATAAGATGTAGCAAGATATTGACTGTCTTTCTCCATTCCAGATGTTTCTGCTGAAGAGAACTGACTTTGCAGGTGAACAGAGTAACAGCAAAGGTAAGTCTCAATTTATAAGCTAAAAAAACCTCTCTGTGGAAGAAAAGGATATACATAGTAGTGGTAATTCATTTGTTTCTGCTGCCTGTGTGATAAAGTTTCTCAACTCTCAAAGCTAAAAGTCTTCCAGAAAATGGGAGGTGGGGGAGAAGCTTTTTAAGCTTTTTTTTTTTCTTTTGGGGTGGGGATGACGGAAAGAGAGAGAATACTGCTTAAAACTTGTTTCTGCTGAAAAATGACATATTTCAACAGGTCTTGTTTGTGCTGGAATGCTGTTTACAATTGCTTAATTACATTCACACTGTTTTGTTATAGGAAGTACTGGTATTCTCTAAAACAGCCTATTTATATAAATAGCTATCGAAATAAGCAGCAAAAAACTAGTTTCCAAAGATTTAGATACTGATGCATATGGAACCATTTTCTGGCATGGAGATGAAAGTGTAAGAGTCATACAGCTATTGCTTTTTCTTTGTCTTCTTTCTGTGGTTTGCTTAGCTTGAGCTTTCAGTATGAAACTTGCTATGGAGATCCAGGTGTGACTTTGATATCAGCTGCTGGCTGTGGCATCTTTTCATTTTTACAGCAAAACCTTCTTAATCCACCTGAATGCACTGCTTAGTGGACCTAGGTGCCAGACCTCAGTGCAGGAAGCATTGATCTGTGCTAGCAGTGTTGCGACATTTTCTTGTTCTCCTGCAGTGCTTTCAACTTCTTTTCACTTGGTTGCTTGTAAGTCCTTTCTACTCTGATCTTTACTTGATTTTCTTGTGAGTAAGTCAAAATCAGGTCCCTTAGTATCTGTCCTAGCTTTAGTAGAGCCTTGTCTGACTGGGGATTTGTGTGTATATTCGAATGGGCATACGCAGCTTGGATAGGAGAAGGTGTTTTGTGTACTTAAGCACAGTTTGATACCTTGTCTGGATTTGATAACTCTTAATGCTGTTAACAGTAACGCTGTGTTTATTCTGAATGCTAGTAAGAATTTAATGACTTCAGTGTAAGCATAATGATGTGTTTGTCCATGTCACCTGGAAATGAGTAGCTGTCTTCTTGTGTTTGTGGCAATACTGCCAGGGTGTCAAAGGTTTTGGAGTCACGCAGTGCAGATATGGTAGGGGAATTCCCTATTATCTAAAGGGAGGGGATGTGAATAATGTGGGGAAGTGTTTGAGATAAGTACGTGGCAGAATATGTAGGTTAAATGTAGTCCCAGAGCTGGTCTTACAGTGACAGTGAAACTTTGTTGTGCAGGAATAATTTTCTGCTACAGAAATTTTGTGTAAACCAAAGTAGCATCTTAAATAATGCAAGCTTACTCCTTTTCATGTAACTTGACCAGAAGTAATGATTGTGCCTGCTCAGAGGTGGTGGTGTGTCGTAGTCCGTGTGCACCTGGATAATCTTACCAGTGAAGTCTCCAAAACTGGAGACATGGATTTTGTGTTCTGATTCTCAATAAGACTGAAGTAATTGGATGACTGTTACGTCCAGCTACTGGCAAAGGTTAATTTTTTGAAATTAATTTCTAAAGTCTGAGTTACTAAAATGCATACTGGACTTAATTGAAAATGTTTTCTAATAAAATAGTATCTTGAAGCAGCGCTCTACGCTTCCTCAGGAAAAGAGGTCGTCTAGGGCTAACAGTTGTGAGGGAAAGGAAAAAGAAAGCACAGAAATTCACTGTCTTCCTCAAAGAGATAAAATACTTTTTCCCCCCCCCCCCCCCCCCCCTGTATTGGATAAAAATCTCTTTGGCTAGGTTATAAAATGACATACAAAACTATTTCAAGTCCATAAACCTTGGAGTATATGATGGCTAGATTCTTAAATGATGGCTTTAAAATGTGAAGTCATAAAGTGGGACTGTTGAAAGTGGGACTGACTATCCATCCAAAATTCAGGTGCTATAGTTCTGTCACTTGAGGTTCTTGACCCTTCTGTCTTGGTCATGTTGCTCCATATGAAGTAGGGAAGAGCAGGGTCAAGAAGTCTTACTCAGGTGCATAACATCAAGTAAGCAGGAGTAATATGTGAGTTTTATTGTTGTCATACTGTTTCAAACACTTTTGTTCAAACTGGATGGGAACTTGCTTTCCTGAAGCAGACTTTACACAAACAGTAGGTCTGAAGAGGTTCTAATTGTAAACATAGTGAAAATTGCTTGACTGCTTCAACACCTCAGATAGCAGCACCTAGCAGAAATAAACCAGAGGGGGGCTTTGTGATTCACCAGTGCTTTAATGAACACCTTGTATGTCCTGCTATTGCCAGTGGTAACAGCATTTCCCTGGGAGCTCCCCCTGTGGGGGATGAGACTTGAGTCTGCTATGAGTTGTTCTCCTGTATTGCTCTTTCCTGGTGCTCCAGCTACGTGGGTTGGGATTTCTGGATGTAGCCCCAGTGACTTCTGACCCTTAGGTTAAAGGGATGGATGTTTGGAGGCTTGGGGAATAACTTCTGTAAATTCTAACCCTGTGTTCAACTGATTGTTAGTAACAACTAAAATACTAGTGAAACCTTTTTCATGCTTCTACTGATGAGTAAGTATCTGGTGAACTTTCCAGCAGCAGTAAAACAAGATCTGCTTATAAAGGTCTGCAGATAAGCCTTAACTACTGCGTATGGCTTTAGCTGCTACTGAGCTAGAGCTGATGTCACGCTCTTAAGCTGACAAGTGAGTAAGAGGTGCAAACAATTGAGCTGTGCAGCTGGGGTAACAAGATGCTGTTCAGCTCCCTCACAGGTGAGCTCCCTCTGGCTCTTTGGCAATGCCTCGGGGAGGAGCGGAGGAGCAGCGTGTGCCCTTCTAACAAGGCCGAATATAAGATGTTAGAGCCGCAGAGCCCGGTGGCGGTGGTGGAGGTGACTTTTAATGCCGACCCAGCGGAAGGAGGGGCTGCGTTCAGATCCCAGCAGAAAGGGAAAGTGGCTGCGGACGGCGCCAACTTCCTCGCCCTCTGCCGCGGGGCGGGGAGGGGGCGGGACGCGCCTTTGTGACGCGAGCGCGGCGCGGCGCCGTCATTGGCTGGCGGGGCGGGGGCGTGGCGCGGAGGGGCGCGGCGTGGCGCGCCGGCCGGGCGGCCATGTGGACCGAGGTGTGCACGGCGGCGGCGTTCATCACCCGCCTCCTGCGGGCCGCCGGCGGTATCGGCGAGGAGCGGCTGCGGTGCTTCCGAGAGTGCCTGCAGGAGGCGCTGTGCGGTGAGCCGGGGGGCGGCGGCGTCGGGGGGCCCCGGCCCGGTGGCGGGGCGCGGGGCCGCGGTGACGCTGCTCTTTGTTCCTCCCGCAGAGCGGTACAAGCACCACTGGTTCCCCCTGGCGCCCTCCAAGGGCTCCGGGTACCGCTGCATTAGGATCAACCACAAGATGGACCCCTTGATAGTCGAGGCGGCGGGGATGATTGGGCTGAGCCACGAGAGGCTCTTCCAGCTCCTGCCCAGCGAATTGACTCTTTGGGTCGACCCTTTC